TATACTCACTGATTAGCCAATGAAAAGCGTAGCGGTTGTACGCCAATTACCATGTTTCTCTTTTATTAGTGTAGATATTTAAATGCCATTTAACAAAGAAAAATCAACCAAAAAAATGAGTTCGCGTGTCACCTCTGACATGTGTGTCATAGGTTCACCATCACTGCCCTAGAGGGATGTCCAACTGCCTGTTTAGGCCTGATCCCACTGAGCCTAAACAGCAATCCAGAACTGCTGGCTCCCAAACGCTCACCTGCCTTCCAGCCTGATCACCTCCTAACCACTCCACTGCTAGCCTTATTGATGCCTAACTGCTCCCCTGCCTGCCCGATTGCCCCTAACTGCCCTCCCTTGCTGGCCTGGTCACCCCTAACTATCCTGCCCTGCAGGCCCGGTCCCTCACAACTGCCCACCCCTGCTGGCCATCTTGTGGCGTCCATCTTGTGTCCACATAGGGGCGGCCATCTTGTGTGTTGGAGTGATGGTCAATTTTCATATTTCGTCTTTATTATATAGGACTAGGGGCACAGTGGAGGAATTCATGCACCTTGAAAGGCACTGTGGGCCACGAGGCTGCAGTCAGCACAGGGGCGGGTCTCAGCCCATCCTCTGCGCCCCAGCCCAGCCCCTCCTGCCATGGCCCCCAGTCTCCTGTCTGCTGGCAGCCCCGCTCTCATGTGCTGATGGCACTGGCCCTGCTCACACCCGCTGATGGCTCGGAACGATTGGGGCTGGTGCCAGCATTGGGTGCAAGCAGCGGCTCCAGCAATAGCTGTCGGTGTGAGCGGGGCCAGCACCAGCAGTGGGTGCAACTGATGGCTCCTGCACTGGCAGTGGATGCAAGCGGGGCTGGCGCTGGCAGCAGTTGCAAGAGGCGACTACTGACACCAATCACCCCTTTAGAGCAGGGGGCGGTGAAGAAGCCCTGAGGGGCGATTGGGGCCAGCGGCCACTGCTCACACCTGCTGATGGCACCAAGCGATTGGGCTGGGCACTGGGTGCCAGCAGCCGGTGTGACAGTGGCTCCAGAGTCAGCAGCAGGTGCAAGCAGGGCTGGCGCCGGCAGCAGGTGTGAGCTCTGGGCGGGACCATGGCACGCAGGAGCAAAGAATTTTCAGTAATCACAAGAGGCTTCCCCAATGACAGCAACCGGCGCCCTTCCTTGGTCTGTCACACCTGCTCACCTGCTCCATCATCCCACTGTGGCAGACGCCCACCATTTTCTGTGCTCAGCCACCTGCTGTCGACATCTGCCATGTTTCGTGTATGACCCGTGGTGGTCAGCTCACATTATAGCGACCTGTTGTTCAGTTGTTTGGTTGTTCTGCTGTTCTGTCTATTTGCATATTAAGGTTTTATATAGAGAGATCAGCCAGAGTTTAAATTTAATTCCATTCATCACCAGTTTCAGATGTAGAGCAAAGTGGTCAGACAACCATGCACTTCATAGAGTGGACTCCCTGTGGCCCACCTGGCCCCACACCCAGTTTTCTCCACATTTTTTACTATATTTCCCATGCTGCAAACTGCAACTCTGTGGCTATTCTGCAGCTACCAATTTGTACTGTTTAATCCCTTCACCTGTTCTACCCAGTGCCCAGCACCTCTGCCCTCTGACAACTGTCAGTCTGTATTTATGAGTCTGTTCCTATTTTGTTTGTTTCTTTAATTTGTTCATTGGATTTCACTTACAAATATGTGAAATCATATGGTATTTGTATTTCTCTGACTGGCTTATTTCAATTAGCATAATACTCTCTGCTGTCACAAAAGGTTGTATCTTGATAATGGCCAAGCAAAGGAAAACAAACAAGCACTTATAAAACTTAGGAAAAGATGAGTCTTACTTAGTGCTCAGGAGAATATTTCAAACAGGAACAATAGAATCCTTATTCTATTGTATATCCTTGCAATTTTGTTGACAGGTCTCAAACAAGGTTTCTGCATGTGTAACAGAGATAACTCATTACATCTCCTGGCATGTCTAGTCCACAGTACAATATTTCAGAAGAGTAGAGAGATCCTTTCTTTGCCAACATCTGCCTCTCTGCTTGGTAATAGAAGAAACCATGACTGATCCTGATAAGTTAAATTTCCACCACTGATCCTTTCCCTGTGTCTAGGGAGAAGTTTTCTGATTATCATCCTGAGTCAGAGCAGATTCAAAATTCATAATCCCTCATGGTAGAGATGGAGTACATCCTGAAAGAAAAATTGCTTGAAATGAAAATGATATCCATTCAGTCATATTTTAGAAATATGAGTAAGACTAGTATCTGAATTAGGACAGAATTTCAGGAGTGTAATTTGTCCCCAAGAACCCAAAGTTGAAAAACAAATATGCAAACCTTGATATAACATATTTTCTGTTGATCTTGAAGTAAGTATTTAGTATAACCTCAGCATTACAACTATGAATGCTTTCACTAACTAGATCCTTTTTAAAAATTGAGGTGCAAATTGATGGACATTTGGGTTCTTTCTGATCTAGTTCTCTAGAACTTTTAAGAAAATTTATAATTTTATTTAAGTAGCTAAAAATGTAATAGAATCTAAATCAGAGTTACAAACACAATGCTCTCACTTAATCTTTTTACATTTTTGGTTGATACTTTACAAAAATATTTGTTTTAATAATATTATAATATATATATATATATATATATTAGTAAAAAAGAAGGAAATCAACAGGGTCCTTTGTTTCAAACAGTTCTGTTCAATCATGAAACCTGAGCAACAGCCTTGTGAAAAGACTTCATCGTAGAACCTCTGCTTTGGTAACAGCCTCCTCCTGCCCCTTACTCCTCACTGGAATCCACCTTTAATTGACCATTGTTCTCACATTTGAAGCTACTAGGAACAATGAGAGAGCTCAACACTACTTTAAAGGAATGCAGCATTTCCAGATGGGAAAAAAAGACCCTGACTTGTGTGTTTAACATTTCGCCTCTTTCAGAACATCACATACATACTTGCCTCCGAATATGGTGTTGGGTGTGAGAACATGATCTGATGCCATTATGTTCATGTTCACTTAAACTTCATAATAGGTTAGCACAGAGTAAATTATTTCTAAAGAAGGGTGTCGTGCTCAGTGGATAACATGCACAGGGGCTGTGCTTAATGTCAATAGCATCAGTCAGGAATCTGAGTTATACCGCCCCTGTTCCTGTACTGAGTAGTATGTGGTCTTTGACATTTCATTTAACCTCTCATGATTCTTAACTATAACGACAGTTTATGTAAATTATAATAGCAGATAATAATACCTTGCTTGGAATAGTGTGGTAAGAGTTGATTCATTGCCATGTGGGAAGCACTTCAAGTCATTTGAATAAAATGTATTCCTTCCCCCCAATTTTGATTTCCCTCACAGCTATTCCCAAGAGGACATATATGTCGGAGAAGCATTGATCCATGTGATTTTACAGAATTTTGCACTGGAAGATCTGAGTATTGTGTGCCAGACATGAAAGCTATTGATTTAGAACCATGTAACAATAAAACCGCCTTTTGCTATAAGGGAGTATGTCGAGATCCAGCTAGACAGTGTGCGGAGTTATTTGGAAAATGTAATAGCCGTGTGTGTTTTTTAGGGGTTCATTTTGGAACTGTGATTTTCTGAAGTCAGCAACTCACCCTAAAATCCACAAAAATATATTGTTTATTTAAATCCAAATCCTATCTATAAAGAAGGAATATGCAAATTGACCATCACAGTGTAACAAATGGCTACACCCACAGCAGAGGCAGAGATTTCATAACACAAGATAGCTGCGCCCACAGCAAAGGCGGGGATCCCATAATGCAGATGGCTGCTCCCACAGCGGAGGCCGAGTTCCCATAACGAGTTTTAACAAGCAATCACCAGAGATCTGAGGCTGCATCGCATGGGGCCAACGCAGGGGTGGGGTGGGGGGCTTGTCAGGGGACCTCAGGCTGCGCCCCCCACCCTGGTGCCAGGCCAGGGGACCTCAGGCCATGACCCCATCCTGGCGCCAGGCTGTGGGACCTCAGGCTGCACCACCCACCCGGCAGGGCTTGACAGGGGACCTGAGGCCATGCCCCATGCCCTGGCGGGGCTTGACAAGGACTTCAGGCTGTGCCCACCCCCACCCAGGCGCCAGCCGAAGGACATGAGGCCATGCCCCCTGTCATGCAGGGCTGTTCCCCCCCACCTGTGGGCCTTGATGGGGACCTCAAGGAGTGCCCCCTTCCCCGGCCCAGGCAGGGGGACCTCAGGCCGTACCCCCTGCCCCAGCACCTGAGGCTGCACCCTCCTGCCTGGCGGGGCTTGACGGGGGTAGGGCCGGCCATGTCTGGATCTAGTCCAATGTGGGTGGGGCTGGTGGGGTCTGTGTTTTGCATGATTTTGAGGCACATGTGGGTGGGCAGGGACTTGACTCTGGTTCCCATGGCACGCCCCAGACTCTGATAGGAGGAAGATTTTCATATACATTTTACTAATTTTCTTGCATCTCTGACACTTCTATTATTACAGAAAGGGCAAATAGCAATATTAAAATATTTCCTCTAATTAATTCCCTTTTAATGTACACAAATTTTGTGCACTGGGTCACTAGTTTGAAAATGAAATTGCAAATCAAAATACCTTTGAATTATGTCAAGAGAAAAATGTCCTTAGTAAATATAAGACAAAGAGAATAGAGCATTAGGCAAATTTCATATGATTGGTATATAGAGACTAGATTACTAGAATTGTATATCAGAAAATAAATGACTGACTTTTAAGTAATTTCTGGAAGATGATACCACTTTTTCTCTTCTAAAGTGGGTAGTTTTTTGGGAGTGTTTCTCATTCTGGAAGAGCCAGTAGGTAACATGAAATACTTGCAGTAGACGCCATTGATTGGATATTGCTGCTGTCTAGATGTCTCTGTATTAATGTACCATACTTTAGTTTTAATTTTTGTAAGATGAGTAATTGGAACTTTTTATTTTCAGTTGCTAAAGGTGGAACGTATCTATGTGCAGAAGAAGTGAATTTTCTACATGATGACTTTGGAAACTGTGGGAAAACTCGATGTGCTTTTTAGTGTGTATTTTAAAACCTACCTATTTCCCAAATGCATATATGTGTTTGTGTGTATGTGTTTTCTGCAATAAGTCACTTAATTCAAGTGAGAGATGAATTTAGTACATATGGATGAATTTATGTGTTGCACTTAATAATATGGAGTATGCTCTGAGTAGCTTGGTGTTATGTTCTGAGTAATGTTTTATTCTCATATTTTAATCGTTATTTACCTAAAAAATTGTGTCCCAAAGTGACATATGGGGAATTTTCTCTGCTTTATATTGCCAGTAACACCTTGTGTGCAAAGATAGTTTGTGACTGGACAAATACACATATAACGGAAACGAGAAATTTTGATGTTCAATATACTTACCTTGGTGGCCATATATGTATGTCAGCAGCTACAAGAAAAGATTCAAAAGTCACAGATCCAGATAATACCTATGTAACTGATGGCACTATATGTGATGACAATAAGGTAAATATAAATTGTAATTGATTCTACATATGAGGTGTATGTGAATGTCTGTGTGTGTGTATGTGTATGAAAGACACACAGAGAGATTAAGATTTTTTTATTTACAATTTTACAAACTAGTTCCTGTATCTTAAGATTCCAAGATCATAATTTCTGTTGGTCAATGGAATAATTGCTTTCTTATCCTTTTTATTATGAACTTTGCTATAGATATTTAAAATGGTTTTCTCACACATGAAGCTAGAATTAAGTCTGCAATAGTTTGTGTAAACAAAGGGCAAAAAAGAATCAAATAATACGCTAAAAGGGTAGAATGGAGCAATCTGAACACTAAGAACAACAGTAACAAGAACAAACAAATATTTAGTCTTGCAGTAATGATGAGAATTAATTTGGTTATAAGAAAAGTAAAACACTTATTTGCTTATTAGCTTAGTTCTTTCTCCAAAGCATAATGTATTTGTTAAAAATTTGGCCCTTTCATAAGACACAGTAATAAAATAGAGTCTAAGCTTTATTTAATTTTTCTTAAAATTTTAAAGAAACATTATAGATAAGTGTGATTTTGAATATTACTACTAAAACTAGTTGACTGAAGAAAAAAGTGCATAATTATCTTACATTGTTTTTTGTTAATCCTCACCCCAGGATATTTTTCCATCGATATTTAGAGAGTGGAAGCAGGGGGAGAGACAGAGAAACATGGAGGTGAGAGAGACACATCCATTGGTTGCCTCCCTACTTGCCCAGACCAGGGCCAGGGGTTGAGCCTGCAACCAAGGTAAATGCTCTTGATCAGAATTGAACTCAGGATGCTTCAATTGCAGGGCCAAAGCGCTATCCACTAACCCAAACTGCCTAGAGCGTTATCTTATATTTTGATTAAAATGATTTCTATTGAGAAACAGTATTTTAAGAAAGGAAAAATAAGCAGAAAAAGGCAATGAATAAACATTTTAGAATGACAGAAGACATTTTTACATAAAAATAGTAATCACAAAGGAACATACTGGTACTGAATACATTGTCCACTAAAGAGTGTCTAGTCTAAGAAAAAAAAACTTATAAGAGTTTATTTGAGGCAAACTGACAACAGTTGCTGGGAAGCAAAACCTAAAAGGATGGATAAAATGCTCTGGGGAATAGTAGTTTTATTGCTGATTTATGCATCAGAATCAAAGAGAGACCATAGGGGTGGTTACCTGGAATTCATTGGTAGCCTGGAGACAGCAAAGCTGGAAAATCTCTGAGATTGGATGAAAAGTAATACAAATAGACACACACTTGCTTTACCATGGTGGGTATAGGATGTTTGATAATGAACAGTTAGAGCGCATAGAGATGGTATGCGGGAGCAAGATAGCATTGAGTTGTTCTCTGGTCTCTAGCTCTGGTGCAATAGTTGTGCCATGAGGGTTCTGGAAAAGATTATGCTGACATTCCAAAGGTATGTTATTTTAGATGCAAAAGGACAATCTACAGGCTCAGTTAAGATAGGTTGACCTTTGTCAAGGAAGATACTAGCCTAGGACCTGAATACATACCAAGACTCCCTTTTAGTTAGACATTTTAAGTTTCAGACCTTCTTATGTGGTTACTTTATGTCTCTGAGTTTATAAGACCGACCATGTATGCCTTCCTTAAGCTTGTCAAGTTTAGTATGTGGCCCCCGTTTTGTCCACAACATTATAAAGTAATATGTATTCCCTTCAAAGGTAATTTAAAACCAAGTGAACAAATGTTTACTATAAATAAGTCAGAGTAAATATATTAACTAATTTAATCATTCTTTAACTAGAAAAAGGCAATAAAATGGTACACACACACACACACACACACACACACACACACGCTCGCATGCATCATATAACACCAAAAACATTAATTAACACTAAGTTGACATTGATGTTAGAAATACTCTTCAAAGAATCTAAAGTGGTCATCATTAACATGTTTCAATGAGCACTTGCAAACATGCTGGAAACTAATGAAATGATAGAAAGTTCCAGCAAGGATGTAAGAAGATATAAAGAAGAATCGCTTAGAAACCTTAGAATTGAAATATACAACAATCAATGTAGAGCGGGGCAAAAATAGGTTTACAGGTTATGGAAAATAATCCAATGATGCTATGTAATAAAAGCCTAATATGCTAAGTGTCCAGTTGTCACATCGGGCGTTCAACCAATCAAAGCATAATATGCTAATGATATGCCAAGGCCGCTCAACTGCTTGCTATGATGTGCACTGACCACCAGGAGGCAGACAGTCGACTGGTCGACCAGTCAGTATGACATGCACTGACCATCAGGGGGAAGATGCTCCAACTAATAGGTGAGCTTGCTACTGGAGTCCAGCTGATTGGGACTGAGCGAGACAGGCTGGACACGCCTAGATCCCTCCCGTGGTCCCTCCCTGGCTGGCCAACCTCCTGCATCCCTCCCTGGCCTCCCATCATTCACCGGTGGGGTCCCTTGGCATGGCCTGCAACCTCTGACTATCTGGGACCTCTCAGGGGATGTCAGAGAGCCAGTTTTGATCCCATCCTACAGGCCAGGCCAAGGGACCCCACAGGTGCACGAATATGTGCACTGGGCCTCTAGTTAATAAATAATAATACAAAAATGAACTCTGTGTTTCCTGTCCTCACAACTGTAAACATACTTGTGCCCCACCCTGTATATAAAAACTCAATGATGGTCTCAGCAGCAGAATAGTGGGGACAACAGAAAAATCAGTGAAACTGAAAAATACCCAAATTGAACAACAGAGTGAAAATAGGATGAAAAAATTAATAGAGCCTCAAGGACATGGGGAGTTATAGGAAAATATATAATACCCAAGACATTGGCATCCTAAAAAGTAGGAGAAATAACTTAAGGTTGGAAAAGTATTTGAGGAAATAATGCCTGGAACATTTACAATTTTGGCAAAAGGCATAAACCCAGAGATGAAATAAGTTGAAAGAGCATCATATAGGATCAGTCCAGTAAAATTCATGGTGGGATACAGCATAATCAAATTTTGGAAAGTTAAAGACAAAGAAAGAGAATCTAAAAAGTAGTGAGAGTGAAATTATATCTTATGTACAGGAAACACAGCTACAATAATGGAAATAAAACAATATAGGAACTAGACATACAAATGCTACAGAAGATTTCCATTAACTAGTCTTTTACCATCTTATCTAATTGACTCTCACGCTGTCGCAAATATTGCGGCAACCACAGCAATATGCGGGAAATATGCTAATTGACTGCTCCGCCTTCAAAGATGGCAGCGCCCACAGCCAATAAGGAGGGAATATGCTAATTGACTGCCACATCCTCAAAGATGGTGGCACACACAGCCACAAGATGGTCGGCAGGGGAGGGTAGTTGTGGGCGATCAGGCCAGCAGGGGAGGGTAGTTAAGAGTGACCGGGCCAGCAGGGTAGGGCAGTTGGAGGGGAAAAAGCCAGCAGGGGAGGGCAGTTAGGGGCGACCAGGCTGGCAAGGGAGTGATTGGGGGGTGATCAGGCTGGCAGGCAGAGGCAGTTAGGGACAATAAGGCAGGCAGGCAGGCAGGCAAGTTGTTGAAAGCCAGCAGTTCTGGATTGTGAGAGGGATGTCCAACTGCCAGTTTAAACAGACAATATCCCCATGGAAGGAAAAGAAGAAAAGAAGAAAGAAAAGAAAAAGGAAGTGAAAGAAAGGGAGGAAGGAAGGAAAAAAGGAAGGAAGGAAAGAAGGAAGGAAGGAAGGAAGGGAGGGAGGGAGGAAAAAAGAAGGGAAAGAAGGAAGGAAGGAAGGAAGGGAGGGAGGGAGGAAGGGAGGAAGGAAGAAAGGAAGGAAGACTTTGACTTTACCTTCTTCCTTCAGCAGGAGCTGTAAACTGGCAGTTGGACATCCCCCGAAGGGTCACAGATTGAAAAGGGTGCAGGCTGGGCTGAGGACAACCACCCCCCCCCTCCCCCACCAGTGCACAAATTTCGTGCACTGGGTCTTCAGTCCTATATAATAAAAGACTAATATGCAAATCGACCAAACAGCGGAATGACCGGTTGCTATGATGCACACTGACCACCAGGAGGCAGATGCTCAATGCAGGAGCTGCCCCCTGGTTGTCAATATGCTCCCGCAGGGGGAGCAACACTCAGCCAGAAGCTGGGCTCACAGCTGGCAAGCGCAGCAGTGGTGGTGAGAGCCTCTCCCACCTCTGAGGCAACGCTAAGGATGTCTGACTGACAGCTTAGGCCTGCTGCCCATGGAGTCATATGTTTTTCCATATGACTCTGGGGTTGCAGCAGCTCTAGAGCACTGTGAGAATGATCATCTAGGTTCTCTCCTTTGCTACTGCATTGGATGTGGTTGCCTTCTTCTTATCCATCAATGGACTTCATTTTATTTCAAAATCCCTGTATGTTCTTAAAGCCATCAGACATCCCCCAAGGGCTCCTGGACAGGGAGAGGGTGAAGGCTGGGCTAAGGGACCTCCCACCCCAAGTGCACATGTTCTGTGTATCAGGCCTCTAGTCTTACATAATAATGGAATTCAACTAATGTTCTGTGGGAATTTCACCAAGCATTTGAAAGTCCTCTGGTTTGTCCCAACAGCACTATATGGCTTTACAGATTTTTCATTTCTCTAGCAGTGGTTCTCTGCCTGGGAAAGTCTGATCATTAGCCCATGCCCAACAGGACAATATCCCCATGGAAGAAAAAGAAGAAAAGAAGAGAGAAAAGAAAAAGGAAAGGAAGTGAAAGAAAGGGAGGGAGGGAGGGAGGGAGGGAGGGAGGAAGACTTTGACTTTACCTGCTTTGTTCAGCAGGAGCTTTAAGCTGCCATGAGTTTTTACTTGCACACCGTTTTGATTATAGAAAACAAATTGGCAGCTTTGTCTGTGTGACTGGGTTTGTCTCATGACAGGCTTTATTTTGAAAGCTGGCTTTTAGTCCATGCAACTTACAATAGTTTAATTGGATAAAGCCTATTCCGTGGCAGATTACTTGAGAAGCCTGAATTCTGTAGTCACCATTAACTCAATTGCTTTAGAAAAAAAATACCCTTCTAAATTTTGTCCCTTGGGATAAAAAGGATTGTGCTGACTGCATTCTGTCATTGAGAGGAATAGGTGTGTAGTGAGGATTGAGAGCTAACTAGTTCTGTGGTTTTGTGGACAGACTTCCATTAATAATAGACATTTTAGCCACTCTTCCCAATCCCACCCTTTCAGCTCTCTCCCTGTTTTTCCATATGACTCTGGGGTTGCAGCTCCTCTAGAGCACTGTGACGATGGTCAGCTAGGTTCTCTCCTGTGCTATAGCGTTGGAGGTGGTTGCCTTCTCCTTCTTATCCATCAATGGCCTTCATTTTATTTCAAAATCCCTGTATGTTCTTAAATCTCTCATCTTCTAATTGTCTCTTTCTGATTCTCCTTAACTCTTATTTATTGGGGAAAAGGAGGCTATTGTGTGTCAAATCCTGCAATCATTCTGAAGGTATTTAATTAAAATTTTAAGCTATTTTTATTTGTTATCCTGAATTATTCAATTGATTTTAGAAAGGTTGGGGATTTAAGGTGTCTTTACCTCACTCTCATATATTGTGATCCTTTGTGAAAATTATCAATCATTTTATACATTAAATGATGTTTCTGTGTATCTTGATTGATCAATCAATACAAAAAGAGAGATTTTATTTCTTATTTATCGACATGAAGAAATGTATCTCTCCCTTTTTACAAGATAATAATTTTAAATAAATCATTCTTAAATTTAACACTGTAATTCTAAGTGAAAAATATACTGCATGGACTTAGACATTATTCCAGAATGCAAGTTTGCTTAATATGGGTTGTGATTCAGAGTATCTTTGAATTTTTATTGATGAGATATAGGAGTATGGTTTATCAAAATGATCGTAACCACATGGGTATTCTAGAGGAGATAAGAACATCTTGGCACATACATGCCTTTGAAATTTCAAAAAGATTATGTTTGTGGTATGTAAATGTTGCTAGTCAATTAATAAATAATATTAACTGTTTTTCTTATCCATATGAATACACAGGACTATAAGAAAATATGCTTACATAAACAGGCATTTCCCCTAGGAAATATGGTTTTAGTTATAGTAGAGATTTTTTTTAACTGTGCTATGACTATTTCTGGGATATTCTTTGTGTTTCTTTTTTAGAGAAGCAAGTCTTATATGCTAGTTTATATTCAAAACATCATCGCAGCCACTGACCAGAGTTTTCTTTTATGGTGTCTTTTGCTTTTTTTTTTTTCCTTACAAAAGAGCCAACTTACAAAATGATCTGTTAAGCCTGGGTCTTAACATTTTCTCGTTTATTTCCCCCTAAAAACAACCCAGGGAAGTATAACTAGTTTATTATTGCCTCAGTGACAATGTTTAAGGAGAACAGAATGAAAATACTAGTTTGTGGACAGGTAACGCTGGTTTGTCCAACATTTTATTATTCCTGCTGGCTTCATTAAAGCAATTTATGTTAATGAACAAGCTGATACTTTTTCCCCCCTTTAATGCCAATGGTATTAGGCGATAATTTATGTTTTAGACTATTCATCACATATTGGATATTCTATCTGATAACTTGATAAAAGCAAGGAGATAATTTGAGAAGTTGCCCCATATGTATTCAAATTAAATTAAATTAAATTTGGATAGAAAAATATTAACATAAAGTCTGCATGAAAATCAGGTCAAATCAATAAATAAAGTAAAACTTGTATTTAATGATCACTTACTATGTGTCAAACATTGCTTTTGTTTATTTATGTGTATCAAATTATTTCATCTTCATAACCTTTACGTATATTTTTTATTCACTTGGGTATAATTACTATTTCAAATTGCAAGATGGGTAAACTGAGGTATGAAGAGATAAATAACTTGCTTAAGGTCACATTGCTAATGTGAAAGATAAGGGATATTATTACTAAAGTTGGAAAAAATGTAAAAATTATAAGAATGCTGGTATTTAGCACTGATCACTAGAATCAGTGAGTAACATACTTATTGCATTGAATATTGGCCTAGCCAATAACTCATTGAATGGCCTTAAAATTGTAAAATTAATTCTTGTCAAATATGATAAGGATGAAAATATTACCTTCACAGGGTCAATATGAATATCCTATCTAATAAAGATGGAATATGGTAATTGACCCTCATGCTGTTGCAATAGATGGCTGCGCCCACAGCTAATGAGGGAATATGCTAATTGACTGCCCCACCCTCAAAGATGGCAGTGCCCACAGCCAATAAGGAGGGAATATACTAATTGACTGCCCTGCCCTCAACGATGGTGGTGTCCAAAGCCAATAAATAGGGAATATGCTAATTGACTGCCCTGCCCTCAAGGATGGTGCCACCCAAAGCCAATAAGGAGGGACTATGCTATTTGACTGCCAACCTTCAAAGGTGGTGGCACCCACAGCCACAAGATGGTGGCGCCCAGTCCCCTCGGCCCTGCTGCTCCATGCGCCTGCCTCCAGATTCCCCCCGTCCCTTCAGCTTTTCAGGGCTGGCCCGAGGTCCAGGCAAGCCTCAGATGGCAGCTGCCCAGCCGCCCAAGGCCACCCAAGGCTCTGGTAACCAGGGCCAGCTGAGGCTTGCGCTGCCATCAGTGGCAGCAGTAGAGGTGTGATGGGGCGATGCCTTCCCCTGATCCCTGGGTAGCCTCCCAGCCCTGAGGGCTCCTGGACTATGAGAATGGGCAGGCTGGGCTGAGGGACCCCCCTCCAGTGCATGAATTTTCATGCACCGGGCCTCTAGTATTTTATAAAAGTGCATAGAAAGTGCTAAGACAGATCCTACCACATTACAAGTGATCAGTACAAGTTGACTATTTTTGTGCTTATGCCAATTAGTATCAATAAACTAACAGCACTGCTCCCTCAAGGTAAAATAGTATCTAATTCTCAATATTTTATATTCTATCAAATACTAAGTTATTTTATTGAATTATTAGATGTCATAAAATCCAGGTTCACATGGTGTTTTTATAAAAAGTTTTTATTGTTGACATTATTGCAGGAGTCTCCTTCCTCCTATCTTTTATCCACCTCCAACCCTAATCCCCCAACCTTCCTCTTCCTGGATGTTAATTTTTTTTTTCATGTACCAATCCAATTTTCCCAGCAGCATTTATTGAAGAGACTCTCTTTACTCCATTGTATGCTCTTGCCTCCTTGGTCAAATATTAATCAACCATAAAGTTGTGGGTTGATTTCCTGGATCTCTGTTGTGTTGCATTGGTCTATATGTCTGTTCTTATGCCAATACCAGGCTATTTTGATTGCAATGGCCTTGTGGCATTGTTTGATAGCTCTATTGGGGTCCCTTCAAGTTTATATTTCATTTTCAAGATTCCTGTGGCTTTTTGGTGTCTTTTTTGGTTCCAGATAGAATTTTAAAATATTTTTTTTCTAGTTCTGTGATATATGTCATTGGTATTTTAATAAGAATTGCATTGAATCTATAGATTGGTTTGGGTAGTATGGGCATGTTAATGATGTTAATTCTTCCAATCTAAGAATATGTAATATTCTTCCACTTGTTTGTATCTTCCTTAATTTCATTCTTCAATGTCATATAGTTCCCTGAGTAGAGACCTTTTACCTCCTTCCTAGGTAAAATTCATTCCTAGGTTACCTTGTTATTTTTTGATGCAATAATAAATGTGGTTGTTTTCTTAGTTTCTCTTTTTGGCAGTTTATCATTGGGGTCTAAACATGCCAAGGATCTCGGTGTGTTGATTTTGTATCCTGCAGCTTTGCCAAGTTCATTTATTAGATCTAGTAGCTTTTTGGTGGAGTCTTTAGAGTTTCCTATATATTACAATGTCATGTCTTCTGCATACACCGACAGTTTTACTACCTTTTTTCCAATTTGGATGCCTTTATTTTTTCTTTTTGGCTGATCACTATGACTGGGACTTCCAGTACTATGTTGAGCAAATTGGATCCAGCAATACATAAAAAAAATCATATACCTGATGTAGTGTGATTTATTCTAGGAGTGCAAGGTTGATACAATATATATAAGATACATCACATAAACAAAATGAAAAATAAAAATCACATCATATTAATAGATGCAGCTATTTTATCTTAAATAGTACACATTTAAGATAAAAACTCTCAAGAGTGGGGATAGAGGGATCATATCTCAACGTATTAAAGACCATGTATGAAAAAGATACAACCGACATCATGGGCTAAAACTAAAAGCATTTCCCTTAAACCATGAAAAAGACAATGATGTCCACTTTCACCACGCTTATTTAACAAATTCATATGTTTTATAAAACTTTGGTGGGCCTATGCAGGTTTACAGTTGTGTGTATGCAAAACAAAGTAGACTACAGGAGTGTGTAAATAATGTAAATAATCATAACTTGCATGTATTTTTCCATTGTAAACCTACTTTTGCCTTCTTCTGTACATATACATTTTGTGCATTGTTTTGTACCAAGAACAATTGCTCATCTCTGCATTTTCTGATTTTCATTGTTGATGCTTGTTTTTAAAATTTTAGTTTTGTCTTGCTGGAAGTTGCTCTTTTGTTGCTAGTTACAAAAACCTTGCATCCTGTAATGCTTCAAAACGGTGCAATGGACATGGCGTAAGTAATGGCTACTCTATTTTTATGTATAGTTATTTTTTAAATTCATGTTAATAACATTTTAAAGATAACAATGAGATTCACAATTATTTGATGTGGAAATTTCTTATAAAAATTGCAGTCAAATAAGGAATCCATTTTTATTTTTTTTAAATTATATTTTATTGATTTTTTACAGAGAGGAAGGGAGAGGGATAGAGAGTTAGAAACATCAATGAGAGCGAAACATGGATCAGCTGCCTCCTGCACACCCCCTGCTGGGGACGTGCCTGCAACCAAGGTACATGCTCTTGACTGTAATTGAACTTGGGACCCTTCAGTCCACAGGCCAACACTCTATCCACTGAGCCAAACCTGTTAGGGCTCCATTTTCATTTTTATACATATGTACATGAATTATGTGTTTAATCAGATTTTTCTAGGTCTCTGTCTCCTGAGTTAGTAACCTTTGAACTCTGCACAAAATGCTATATAAAGCATCAGTCAGCATCAAAAGCTCTGCTTCCTAGGCAGCCATTGGTTCCCCACAGTTGACCCAGATTTGGTTTTGATTGGTCAGTTTTTATGCCAGTCAGCATCAAAAACTCCACTTCCTAGGCAGCCATTGGCTCCTCACACTTCACCCAGATTTGGTTGTGATTGGTCAGTTTCTATGCCAGTCAGCGCCTCTGGGCCTATAAACAGGACCTGATCAGAATGGCGGGGCTAATCAGCAGCCCTGGTTGAGGCCTGGAGAGAAATGGAGGCACAGCTGCTGGAGAGAAAGAGAGAGGCAAGTGCTGATCAACAGCTGCCACACATGCTATGGATCAGACCATGCTTCTCTCTTCAGGCCTCTCTCTGGGCCTGATTCGTAGCCCACTCAGCAGTCAGTGCTGGGTCACCATGCCTGCAGTTGCAGCAGTCAGTGCTGGGTCTCCACGGCGACCCAGTGCTGACTACAGGACTGACTTCTGGTTGGTAGAGCCTCTGGTCATGACAGACCCAGGGCTTTTATATATTAGGATATGTCAATCATGCACAGTATATTTTCATTACATGTAATACTTATCCTATATAATAAAAGCCTAATATGCTAAGTGTCCAGCTGTTAGTTTGACCATTTGACCATTTTTAAAAAATATATATTTTTATTGAATTTTTACAGAGAGGAAGGGAGAGAGATAGAGAGTTAGAAACATCGATGAGAGAGAAACATCGATCATCTGCCTCCTGCACATCTCCTACTGGGGATGTGCCCGCAACCCAGGTATATGCCCTTGACCAGAATCGAACCTGGGACCTTTCAGTCCACAAGCCGACGCTCTATCCACTGAGCCAAACCGGTTTTGGACATTTGACCATTTTTTATGACGCACACTGACCACCACAGGGCAGACACTCCAACAGGTAGGGTAGCTTGCTGCTTAGGTCAGACAGATTAGGACTGGGTGAGGCTGGTCGAACACACCCTGGAGACCTCCTGTGGTCCCTCCCTGGCCTCTAAAATATTTCTTCTAATTAATTTCCTTTCAATGTGCATGAACCCATGCACCGGGCCTCTAGTAGTCTAATATTTTTTGAGTGAGAGCAGGATATTTTGTGTATTCCAATCATTTATGCACTTTAATGGCTTCAATGTGTTGTTTGTATGTCTGTCCCACAATATATTTGAAGTCATTCACTATTAGACTTCGGTATATTGTTAATTTTAAGTTAACTAATAAACTAGAGGCTGGGTGCATGAAATTTGTGCATAGGAGGGGGGTGTCCCTCAGCCCGGCCTGCACCTTCTCCCATCTGGGACCCCTTGGGGCATGTCTGACTGCCAGTTTAGGCCTGATTCCTCCCACATTTCCTCTCATAATTCGTGACTGCTGGCTCCTAACTGCTCACCTGTCTGCCTGCCTGATTGCCCCTAACTTCTTCTACCAGCCAGCTGATCGCCCCATAACTGCCCCCCTGCCTAATCGCTCCCAACTGCCCTCCCCTGCCAGCCTGATCACCCCCAACTACCTTTTGCTGCTGGCTTGATCACCCCAAACTGTCCTCCCTGCTGGCCTGATTACCCCTAACTTCCCTTCCTTGCCCTCCCCTGCAGGCCTGGTTCCCCCCAAATGCCCTCCCTGCCAGCCATCTTGTGGTGACCATTTTGTGACAGCCATCTTGTGGCGGCCATCTTGTGACGCCATTGTGCAAGCGCGTTGTGCAACACCACCTAGGCTTTTATTATATAGTACATTGGTTCACTGGACATTATTGTACATTCATTTTTGCATGTTTATCTGATTTCTTAAGTTGTTATCTATAATATCTGATGGGTCAAATGTATGCACCATTAAACTTTTCAGTAATACATTGTCTTAAAGAAACAGTGTACCAGTTTTTGCTCCCACTTATCATGTATGAAAAGGTGCATTTCCTCTAATTCTGGCCAGTGCAGTTTCTCAGTTTTTCAGTCTCTTCTAACATGGTAAAGCCATTGTTAACTTGCATTTATTTGATAATTAATAATACAGTTTTAACTATGTATGTATACTCATATTTACCATTTGCATTTCTATTTTCTTATCCATGGTGAAATTATCTATTATGTTATAGAAGTTTTGTAAACCTTGGAAGGTTTTAAAGCATGCCTTTGGTTTTAAATTTGTGACTAGTGTCTTCTGCTGTATGGATCCTTCATATTTTATCCTGTAATAATTCATAAAAAAGTGACATTTTTATATGTCTTGATTCAAAATGTTCTCCCAAGAAACTTAAATGTCCTATTATTTACATTTAATTTCTGTTTCTTTCCTTCTTTATTTAATTTTAATTGAATATTTGCATGCCCCTACTTCTAGATTCCTTCATCTACTTCTGACCCTTCTTTCAATTCATGTACCAGCTCACATTTATAGATATTTTCTAGAAAAATACTTTCTATATTTGTGTATGTTTAAGCAAGTTCTTTCGTGAGTTTGTCCATAATGTTTTTTGGTAAATGTTTGCCTTTCTCACAGCTATTTTTTATATGACACAATTCATAATAAATTTAAACTCCCACAATTTTATAACATCTAGCCTCATAATTTCTATGTCTTTCTAGAATAAGCTATTTCAGTTGTATCAAAAATGTTACCTGTATTTTAAAATACAAGAGACAAATAATAGTAAATCTCTGTTTTATGAAAAGATAATGCACGGACATTTATTTTGTAGAATTTTATTTTAGAAATTACTTACACATTAAAATAAACACTACCTCTAATATACTAAATTATAATACTTTAACAATGTGTATTGAAGAATAATGACAAATGTTGCGTTTAATTTTTTATTGTACATATAGTATTCTTATTCTTCATTTGGTTTTGGTTTTAGGTTTGCAATAATAACTTCAATTGCCATTGTGATAGCGGATATTCTCCTCCAAATTGTGAGAAAACACTGTCATCACCAGGAGGAAGTATTGATGATGGGTATTGGAATTTTGACAATGGTTAGTATCTTGATCAGTGTGCTCCAACGGAACTTTCTGCACTTACAGTAATGTTCTGCATCTCACTCTAGCTATTTTGGCTCAATGGATTGAGCGTCAGCCTGCAGACTGAAGGGTCCTAGGTTAGATTCCGGTCAAGGGCACATGTCCAGGGTTGGGGGCTTGATACCCAGTAGGGGGCATGAAGGAGGCAGCTGATCAATGATTGTCTCTCAGCATTGATGTTTCTATCTTTCTCTCCCTCTCCTTCCTTTCTGAAATCAATAAAAATCATATCAAATAAAAGAGAAACATGCAAATTGACTGCACCTCCACTACGCCCAAGCCACGCCCACCAGCCAATCAGAGTGCCTATATGCAAATTAACCCAACCAACTCCCGGCAGCCACTGAGCTGGAACAAGCAGGAGGCTTTGTTGCCCCAGTGATGGAGGAAGCCAAGCTTCCCGCCTGCCCTGGCCGGCTCTGGCCTCCACTCAAGGCAACAAAGTTTCAATTATAGAAGATAAATAAATCCCAGATATCTGCTTCCAGCCAGCCTCCCCTGGGAGCTTGGGTGGCTGGGGGCCATGGCCAGCTTGCAAACAGCCATCTGCTCTTCACCCAGGATGGCCACACCCTCATGGGGTGAGGGTCCCCACTGGGGGGCTTGGCCAACCTGCAAACAGCCATCAGCCTCTAACCCAGACTGGCCAGGCACCCCAGCAGGACCTTCCACCCTGAAGGGGGCTTGGCCAGCCTGCAAACAGCCATCAGCCCCTCACCCAGGCTGGCCACACCCTCATGGGGTGAGGGTCCCCACTGGGGGGCTTGGCCAACCTGCAAACAGCCATCAGCCTCTAACCCAGACTGGCCAGGCACCCCAGCAGGACCTTCCACCCTGAAGGGGGCTTGGCCAGCCTGCAAACAGCCATCAGCCGCTCACCCAGGCTAGCCAGGCACCCCAGCAGGACCCCCTTCCCCGAAAGGGGTGTGGCCAGCCTGAAAACGGCCCTCAGCCCCTCACCCAGGCTGGCCAGGCACTCCAGCAGGAAGCCCTTCCTGATCCGGGGCACCCTTCAGGGCAAATCAGCTCACCCCCACCCATGCACCAGGCCTCTATCCTATATAATAAAAGGGTAATATGCAAATTGACCCTAACAGCAAAACAACTGGGAATGACTGGTCACTATGACACACACTGACCACCAGGGGGCAGATGCTCAATGCAGGAGCTGCCCCCTGGTGGTCAGTGTGCTCCCAAAGGGGGAGCTCTGCTCAGTCACAAGCCAGGCTGATGGCTGCCAGTACAGCAGTGGTGGTGGGAGCCTCTCCTGCCTCCTCCGCAGTGCTAAGGATGTCCTACTACAGCTTAGGCCTGCTCCCCCTTGCAAGTGGACATCCCCTGAGGACTCCCTGGCTGCCAGAGGGATGTCTGACTGCCAGTTTAGGCCCAATCCCCCGGGGAGCGGGCCAAAGCCAGCAGGTGGTCATCCCCCAAGGGGTCCCAGACTGCGAGAGGGCACAAGCTGGGCTGAGGGATTCCCCCCCCCCAAGTGCACAAATTTTTGTGCCCTAGGCCTCTAGTATATTATAAAAAGAAAAAGAAATGTTCTACATCTCCACCATTGATATGGCTGTTGAGTCCCTGGCATGTGGATAGTACAACTAAGGAGCTAAAATTTCCATTTTATTTTACTTTATTGAATTTAAATTTAAATAGCCATTTTGGCTACTCTATTACACAGTGCAGCTAACTCTAAATCATACTTTTAATCAAAATGTTGTATACTCTTATAATTCAAATCTAGAAGTGAACATTTCAATAGGCTTCTCCCAAAATTAACCATGGTTACTCAAACATTTCTATTTATACAGTAGAGTTTTCTAGATTAGTATTATTAAATTATAGAATAGGTGATAGTTTTAGTATATAGTTTATATCTCAAGAATTAGCTATTGTAATGTGCTAGTTCAAAACTAAGTTGCATTTTTAAAGTTAACTATACTAGAGAAAGTTAAAAATAATAAAATCTTTCATAACCATCCCATATGAATAGTAGGTAGTACAAAACATTTTTCCATGTATTTGGTGAATGTTCACAAACAAATGTAGTGTATTTGATTTTTCTAAACTTCACGATCTATAAATCTCAGAAGAGTTCATTTCCATTAATATTTTTCCACCATTGGCACTTTTGTTGTTATATTTTTTTATATATTGTAGTATATCACTGACAATACATTATTATTGCCCTTAGGTAACTGATAGGATAGTAGATATCAACAAGCAAAAGAATACACTTGGGTATTTACTGAAGCCATATGCCAAAATTAACTACAAATAGATCCGAAATTAAATGTGAGAGCTAAAATGATAAAATCCTTAGAAGAAAACAGGGGAAATATTAAAAACATTGGGTTTTGCAATACTTTTATGGGTATGGCACCAAAAATACAGAAAACAGAAGTAGAAAAATTTGAATACATAATAATTAAAAACTGTTTTCTAACAAAGAGCATTATCAGCAAAGTGAAAAAATTGCCCATGCTGTTAGAAAATGTCTGCAAATTATGTATCTGAAGAAAACTTAATATCCATAATATGTAAAGAACTCATACAACTCAATAAGAAAATAGCCCAATTAACAAATGAGTAAAGGACTTGAATAAACATTTCTCCAAAGAAGTTACCCACATGGTCAATAAGTACATGAAAAGATGCTCAACACCACTCACGGTTAGGGAATTGTGGTCAAATGTACAAGATATTAATTAACAATTAGTAGGATGGCTGCTACCAAAAAATTTGAGAAAATATCAAGTGTTGATGAGCATTTGCAGAAATTGGAGCCCCTATGCACTGTTGGTGGAATGTAAAATGATGCAGCCTCTGTGGAAAATAGTATAGTGGTTCCTTAAAAGACTATACATAGAAGTACCATATTATTCTGCAATTCCATAGTGAGGCATACTGTATGGCACAATGCATAGAAAGCATGGTCTCAAACAGATATTTGTACAGTCATGTTCATAACAGTATTATTCACAATAGACAATTGGTAAAAATTCCAAAATGACCAATGACAGATAAATGTGGAAACAGAATGTGGTATGTTTATACAATGGAATATTAACTAGCTTATAAAGAATTAAAATTCTGGCACAGGTTACAACATGAATGAAATTTGAAGCCTTATGTTAATTTAACAAGCCAGTCACATTCTGGATATGGTACTGAATGATTCTGCATTTATGAGGCACTTAGAGTGATCAAATTCATAGAAAGTAAAATGGTAGTTTTCAGGGCCATGGGGAGGGAAAAATGACAAGTTAAAGGGTAAAAGAGTTTCAGTTTGAGAGAATAAAAAGACTGGAGTTTTGTGTTGGTGATGGATTTACAACAACCACCCCCAGCTGCGCCTTCTCCCTGGTAGCCATAGTGATCCGGGAGCAGGAAAGCAAGCCTGGCCTGCTGGCAGCCCCCAGCTGGGCCTTCTCCCCGGTCGCCATGGCGATCCAGGAGCAGGAAAGCCCGGCTTGCAAGCAGCACACCCATCCTGGCCATAGCTCAAGGGAGAGTACAACATGCAGTGGAGGCCAGGACCTGAGAGATCAACACAGAGGGGCTCCTGCTCCAAGCCTCCATGGTGTGGCTGGGGGCAGGCCCCCAGCAGACACACACACACACACACACACACACACACACACACGCGCACACACACACACACACAGTGCCTGCTCTGAGCCTCCAATGTGGCTGGGGGCAGACCCCCAGTGGGGACACACACACACACACACACACACACACACACACACACGGGACGCCTGCTCCGAGCCTCTGCTGCCAGACTGTGGCCATCAGTAGGACATCCACTGAGGGCTCCTGGACTGTGAGAGGGGCAGGCTGGGCTGAGGAAACCCCCACCCCCCAGTGCACGAATGTTGTGCACTGGGCCTCTAGTAATATAATATTTAGAAATAATGTTATTCAAAGAAGTATAAGTTATACACTGAAAGCATACATTTATATTATTAAAAGATCTAGATAAATGTAAAGACATCTAATGTTTATATATTGGAAGTCTCAGTATTGTTAATACAGAATTATTCCACAAATTGACATAAATATTCAACACAATCCTTAATAAACTCAAGTTTTCTTTTTGGCAGAAATTGACAAGCTGATACTAAAAGTCATGCAGAAATTCAAAACTAGGTTTTCAATTAAAATTTGAAAGTGAAAACATACTTCTTTTAATATATTTTTAATTTAATTCAGAGAGGAAAGGAGAGGGAGAGAGAGATAGAAACATCAATGATGAGAGAGAATCATTGATTGTCTGCTTCCTGTATGCCCCACACTACGGATTGAGCCCACAACCTGGGCATGTGCCCTGACTGAATCGAACCGTGACCTCCTGGTTCATAGGTCAATGCTCAACTACTGAGGCATGTCAGTCTGGCGAAAACATATTTCTTAATTTCAAAACTTATTACAAAGATAAAATAATCAGCAGTACAGTACTGTCATAAGAATAAGGATGACATATAGTTCAATGGAATAGAATACAAAGTCCAGAAATAAAGACTCATTAATTACACTCATTACTTTTTGACAAAATGTCAAGGCAATTAAATGGGGATAGAATGATCTTTTTAAAAATGGTGTTGGGAAAAGTAGACATCAAACATGCAAATAAAGTAGTTAGATTGCTATATTGCAACATCACAAAAATTAACTTAAAATGGATCAGATGTCTCATTGGAGGTGCTAAATTTATAAAACACCTAGAGAACATACAATAACAATTTTGTGTCTGTGGCATAGACTATGCTATAGAAGACACCAAAGCACAAGCAAAGGAAGAAACAAGAGAATGATTGAACTTTATCAAAATTAATAACTTTTGTGCTGCAAATGATACAACCCAGAAAGTGAAAGACAAACTACAGAATGAGTGAAAATATTTGCAAATCTTGTATCTGATATGCAACTTGTGTATCCGGAATATATAAAGA